GAATGAATCATCTTGCCATGAATTCTTCCAGATTAATGCCCCATGATTGTTGCTGCCTCAGTCATCAGCAATTTGTGGTTCATAATCACTGAACCAGATGAATGATGTCAGGAAGCCTGCAGTGAGAAAATTGGAGATGGAAGGCACCTTGTGCTGTTATGATTTCCAGTGCTCTGCTTTTTAGCAGAAAGGCATAGATCAAAGTACAAATGAAAACTTTTTTTTTACTTCTGCCAAATAATCCAAACATTTTTATTACATACCAGATATAGGTGGACAAATTAGAGCAAGGTGGGTGTAGGGGTTATGGCATCTGGATAAAAAGCTGGAAACTATGAATTCTAGTCCTGTTTTAGACATAAAGCCAGCTGAGTGACCTTGGGCCAATCGTTTTCCCTCAGCCCTAAAAAGGAGACAGTGGTAAACCACTTCTGAAATCTCGCCAAGAAAATGCAGGGACTGCTCTAGTTTAGGCAATCACCAGGAGTCAAGATTGATTCCAAGGCGCCTGTGTACAAACACAATGTGTGCATAGGATAAAAGCTTGCTTCTTTCACCATTTTGTTCATATCTTATTTATAGGATGGCAGAATAATGACAGGTTTCCTTTGAGTACAATGAACTTTCCTGCTCTTTTTTTTTTAACTGCTGAGAAATGTACTTTTCAGGAGTTTGGTGCTTCATTAAGGACAAAGCAGCCAGCACAAAAAAGTAGAAATTGTTTTAGTTTCTGCATCTCAATGTACCTAGCCGTGTTGCTGAAAGATGGGTCCCAGAATCCATTTGGTTATACTGGCTGGCATGTACTGTATATTGAGAGTTGTGTTACAAATCTGGAGGATCGCGGTTTCCAGATGATAGTTACGATTAGTGTATTGTTGGAAAGATTGGAACGTTTTTTTCTGAAATAATTACCCATTTTAAAACTGCATCATATAATTAGTAGAATTGAGCAGAGGTTTGGAAATAACTTGGAAGAATTAATTGTGTAAATATATTGATATCTGCAATTCTTCAAAACAGCATCTTTTCTAAGGAATAGCAGTTAACTGCAGCTACCAAAGATCTCTAATGATCTAAGTGCTAGAGCCCACTGTAACTACATAGCCAAAAAGGTGTTAAGAGTTGTTAACTTAATCTTACATAGCTTTTTCTCTGGTAATATTACACCAATAACTAGAGCACATAAAACATTTGCTAGACCAATACTCGAATACAGCTCATCAGTCTGGAACCCACATTACGTATCTGATATTAACACAGTTGAGAAAGTCCAGAAATATTTCACAAGAAGAGTTCTCCACTCCTCTACTCATTGCAGAATACCTTATGCCACCAGACTTGAAATTCTAGACCTAGAAAACCTAGAACTACACTGCCTTCGGTCCGATCTAAGTATAGTATATAAAATCATACACTGAAATGTCCTACCAGTCAATGAATACTTCAGCTTCAACCATAACAATACAAGAGCAAACAACAGATACAAACTCAAGGTTAATCACACCAAACTTGATTGCAGGAAATATGACTTCAGCAACAGAGTGGTCGATGTCTGGAATACTCTACCTGACTCTGTGGTTTCTTCCCCAAACCCCAAAAACTTTAACCTTAGACTTTCTACTATTGACCTCACCCCTTTCTTAAGAGATCTGTAGGGGGAGTGCATAAGTGCACCAACGTGCCTACCGTCCCTGTCCTATTGTTTCTTTTATTTTTTTTATTTTTCTTACATGTATCCATGTATTCATAACTATGTTTTTTTACTTATACCTATTATCTTGTAAGCAATTGACAAAAAATAAATAAAAAAAATAAATAAAAAAATAAATCCAAGGAAAAAAATACAGTTTTACAGAGTTCCAGAAAAAAATGTTACATTCATACTTCTGTGTGCTTTGAAGAACCTCTTGGAGACTGAATTTCAAAAACTCCGTAATCCTAAATGTTATTTTTTGTACTTTATATTACAAAACAATGTTGGATTCCACTGAATTAATATTATGACTTTATTCCACACCCACATTCCTTTGTATAGGCTTTTTTGAAGTAGGAGATTTAGTTACAATGGGTTGTTATTATGAGCACTTGTTGAGAACTTACTGAATAAATAGGTATACAGTTGTTATTTAAATATTTCAAGGTTTCATTGATAACGTATTTATAAGCTGTAAGAATAAATACCCTGCAAGAATGGTATTTTTCCATGCCATTGGTATAACTTGATATTTTGCAATGTCAAGATATTTATGCATCTTAAACTTGATATGAAATTGCAAACTATGTAAGTAAGGCATTAGCTCTGATTTTTGGACTTTCTGCTTCTTCCCATCCCACATTTTAAAAATGAACATTATTTGATGAAGAGTTTTGAAAAACCTGAAAACTGCATACTTTAAAAAATCATTTGGTTTTTCTAATAATAATGCCACACAACTATGGATCATTTTTCCTCTCACGGATCCATGTTGCTGCAATTTCTTTATTCAAAATGTTGTCTACAGTATGCAGATCCTTTTGGAGTAGCTTGAGTTTTGTTTGAGTTTGAAATCTGTTAATTCCCTAAAGAGTGAGCAATCATGATGAAGTGTTTCGTTTATATACTCATTACATTTGTTGAGACTTTTTCTTAAAATTGTAACACATTTGGAAATACCAACAATATCATTAAAGAAACTCACACAGTTCTTTGCTATGTCTTCAGACAAGCCAGTCAGCTTTATAAATTGAACTTTAGCTTCCTTTTTGCACACTGTATTAGACCTTAGTTCTACTTGTCAAGTATAATCCTGGCTGTTTCGTTCTGTGAAAATACAAAGACACCCCCTGCTGGTCTGGGTGACAAGTATAAACGTCTGATTACACTCCCTAAACTTTCATAACAATTTTGCTAATTGATTACCTGAATCATAGTGACATGCAGGGGTAACAAAAAAGTGTTACCCTTTCTTACTCTTCTGCTGTGTAATTTGCATTTGATTATTTCATGCAGAAGATGCCAAGATGTTCTTGTTTTCTATTCAGAAACATTTTTTTCAGGAGAATGTAAGAGTTGGGCTGGTCAAACTACTAGCCTCTTGAACCAGTACAGTATTTTCTGACCAGATACCATTTGAATGTCACGAGCAGGACATCTGGGCCACCATCATTTCCACCAAAAAGTAGCATTTACAGTACAGGGAGCACTTTCACATTTGATGGCCATATTCTCTAAGAATCTCTCTACTCTCCCTTGAAGGAGCGTACCAATTATCTTGGGATAGGGTGGGAAGAAGGAAGGAAGTTTTAAAAATAAGGTCAAAATACCATCTTGGTGAGCAATTTAGGACTTAAAGAGCAGTGGTAGCTTTGAGTGTCAGGCATTTAGTCTATTCCTGGTCTATGAGATAGTGTATATTTTTTTTATATTTTACATTTTTAAAAATGTGATCTTCCTGTAAATCCGAGGTTTTTATGTCCTCTTTTGGATGTACACTACAGTTAAAAAAAATACAAGAGGCCCTAAATTTGATCTCTCTATCCAAAAGGGTAACATTGTGAGATTTGCAAGGTAAGTTGGAGAAAAATATTTTTTAGTTTAGTGCACAAAACACAAACTGATGACTAGGACTTGCTTTTAATGAACTGGCTTCCACCCACTTATCTGCCAATTTTCTTATTCTTCCTTCTTTCTGCTCTCTTTCTGCAGGGGTGGCAACAGGGTGTGGTTAAAGTCAAGATGGGAGCCACAAACCCATGATTGAAGCTCTTTTCCTTTACATGCGTCAGTAAGTGCAAAAAGAGCTAGGGCGTGGATTAGGGCTGCCATCTTGATTTTTTTTTTTAATCTTTGCAGGATAGCTTTGTTCTTTTGGACTAGGACAGTCACTGATAAAGAAGCATTATTTCTGATAAAGTCAATTTCTGATAAAGAAGCATTATTTAGAAATCCAGGCAAAATGCTTTTCCTGAAATGCAGGGATGGGAACACCCTGCCTTACTGAATTGCTGTCTGCTATGTAACTCTTAAAAATAAATGAAGGCTATTGAAATCTCTGTTTACTTTAAGTTCTAGTCTCTTAGGTGACTCAAATTACTTAACGATAAGAAGCCAATGCAATGCAATATCCTGTTTGTGTTGAACTTACTTCCTGAGACTACCAAAGTAATGGAAAGTCCTGCTGCTAAAAATAGGCATTAGCCTGCTTTGTGCATAATATTGAACCATTATAACTTTTTCAACAAATTGGAATAAAACCAAACTGTGGCGTGGTATGAACTTCTATTTGTCCTGTCACAAGTTATAACAGTACTTCTGTAGGTACTATTTTCATTTCATTTCATTCTTCAAGGGTTCTTTCAAACAAAGTTTTCCAAGGCAGTAAGAAATAATAATCATTTAAATGTGAACGAAATCAGAACTACAAAAAATGACAACTATAAAAATAAAGCACTACAGTGGCAGGACAATATCTGAAGTCAACATTAAATTAATCATCAGCATTGCCATGAATAGTTTGGGAAAATAGTGACTGGAATCTACACATTTTGTTCAGTTTGGTACAGTTGCCCAGCCATCCTGGATTACTGAGAAAGCTAGGATGAAAAATGACATATTTTACTCCACTCTTAGTCAGCTTCACCAATACCAAAAATCCCACATAGATGGCCAGGATTCTTCCTAGAAATACTGACCAACGAAGTGTTAGGATTCATCGCCACACTTTGGAATATATTGGGAAAGAAATAGAAAATAAATAAACAGTTATTTGTCCATTGTAAACTATACATCTTAGTAATGGAATGGGTCCTGTGTTGGCCTTAGTTCCTAACTGATTTCTCCCTGCTTCTAGTCCATTATAGTACAAAGCTGAGATGTTCCTTGGAGAAATTCAAATAACACATCTTCACATGAATCTATGATGCAGCTAGCATTGTGAACATCAATCCAAAGTGTTCCATTCTTCTTGAACATTCTGTCATGTTAATCCACAGATCTGTTCACAGTTTTTTTTCTACATCATAATTAAATGATGGTGGAGCAGTTCTTGGGAACCTGGAAACTCATCTTGAGCGAAAACTTCGATGACTATATGAAAGAACTGGGTAAGCAAGCGCACTGCAGGAAAAACCTAAATTTTCAGAGATAACCAGATTTACTTATTTCTTAAATTTATAGTCTGTTTTTTATCCAGCAGCAAACAGTAGCATTAATAATGCACCACATTCCCATTTTTCTCCATAAAAATGTGAAGGATGTTGGATTGACAAAAGTAAGAATGTGGAACTGTTCCAAAGTCAATGAACTTGCGATTTTGGGTCTTCCCAGTGCCAGGCCAACATTTTAATCACTACCCTTTAAAAGTGTGTTGCCTACAAGGGAATATCAGATATATCTGTTTCTGAACATTGGAACAAATACTATGAGATACAGTAAAGAACAAGGTGTATTTAAACTGCAAAAAATAGGACTAAGAAGCATGATAGCATCCTTTGGCCATTTAAAAAGAGAGTGGACTTGTTCTCTTTTGGCAGGCTGGGAGGTGTTAGGCTTGCACTTATGTAAGGAGGTCTAAAGTATTTCTTCAAAAAATGTTTGAAACCAAACAGAGCTATAATAATTACTTCTAAGACTCCATAAAATGGCAATTTCCAATCTGGTACTCCTTGAATAAATTGGATTGCAATATCCATCATCCTTAATTGAAATGGTCATTGATTTTTCCAATTCAGTCCTTTCCAGGAGTATTTTTGACTAGACCTATAAGAGCTAGTCAGGAGTTGTAGATCAACATATGTAACACCTATCATGCTGAAGAATACCGTGTGTCTTTGATATTTTATCTTTGTTTTCATTGGAAGATTGCTAATCAAATCCGCTAAACAAAATAAAATTATCCTAAAACCCAAATCTTGATTGTCTAAATTCCTCCTTCTACATTCTGTTTGAAGTAGAACATTTTGTTTTGTTTTTTAAAAAATATGTTTTATTTAACCAAACCTGTAATCCCATACCAGATTTGGAAAATATGAAGATTTAACTGTTACTAAGTGAAAATAAAGTGGTTTTTTATGGTTCACTAAAATACGTTTATGAAAATTTAGAAACTTTGCTACACCAATGAGCAATGTGCCATTTCATTTTATTTACAGTCATTTTAACTCATCTTTTAATTTTTTTTGTATTTCTTTTAACTTTATATGTTGTTTTTCTATAAGATAGGTATTCTTTCTTAGAAAACAGGTGGCATATAAACCAAAGAAATAAGAAATGCAAATAAAAACAAAAGTTGCCATTTTCTAACCTGACTTATTTCTAAGAAGGCCTTTAAAATACTGGACAATATTTCATATTTTGCATTCTGTAGGAGTAGGTTTTGCCCAAAGACAACTGGGTGTTCTAGCCAAACCCAAAATAATCATCACTATGGACAAAGATGTCATCACTATCAGAACAGAAACTATATTTACAGTTAATGAGATCTCCTTCCAACTGGACCAAGAGTTTGAGGAAAGAACAATAGATAACAGGCTGGCTAAGGTAAACATTTCTAATTTTTATTCCCATGTTTAAGAAGAGATAGAATAACTTGCCATATAGCAGAATAATTACTAGAATGTCAGTCTAGGGTTAAGTAGGGCTAGAAAGCAAAAGATTGTGAGTTCAGCTTTTTCCTTAGTCATGAAAGCCTGATGGGGGACATTGAGCCAGTCGCTCTCTTTCAGCCCAACTCACCCAAGGAGTTGTTGTTATAAGGCAGGGGTCTCAAACACAATTTACCTGGGGGCTGCTGGAGGCAGAGTCTGGGTGAGGCTGGGCTGCATAATATTATACTTTATATTATACTTTATATTTATTTATACACTAATATTATACTTTCATATCACGGTGGGGGCCACAGGATATCGTCCTGTGGGCCGCAATTGGCCTGCAGGCCGCGAGAATGAGACCTCTGTTATAGGGAAAATAGGAGGAAGAAGGAAATGTTGTGTGTTGGAAATGTTCACTGCCTTGAGTTATTTGTAAAAATAATAACGGTGGGATACCAATAAGTTAAATGTCAGCTAATGAAAAATGGGATGTATGGGGGAAGAAAGAAAGGATTCATTTAACAAGGAGAGAGAAAGAAAATATATTCCCCATAACCTCCTGTGTATTTTTAGAGCATTGTAACAAAGGATAATGACACCCTCATTCACACACAGAAGTGGAATGACAACCACACTACTATCAAAAGAAAAATAGTAGATGGAAATATGGTGTTGGTAAGTTTCTTTCAGTCTACCCTGCATTTTAATTTATTTAGTTCCATATAAAGCCCCACAAAACCTGAATTTAGAAGAAACATTATATACCTCATTGTTCCTATGGCATTGCCACCTATTAACATAACATTTCAATTGTTTTCATTTTCTGTTATTATCTTAGTATTATTTTGTTAATTATTAAATCCACATTAGTATGCTGGGAATTGGGGGGTATTCAGAATACACTAACCCAAACCAAGGAGATTTGAGGTTTCTTCAGCTATACCTGCAAAAGTTGTTCAATGCTGAACTCAGGCAGTGTGAGCTATGAATTATGGCTTGTGTGAACTCAATCCTTTAATGCTTTTTACTTCTTTTTCACTTTATGAACTATACTCAACTATTTTTAGAATTAAACAATGACAACTCTGGGGCAGAGGGATAAGAAGCATTTTCTTCAAACTGTAACCTCAAAGTCAAACTCATATTCGAAACAATCTATTCTACTTAAATGTTTTCGAGAATAATTTGCTAGTTTGGAGGAGGAGAAATACAGGTAGTCTTTGACTTATGATCACACTTGGAGCCAGACTTACTTTGTTAAGCAAGGCTTTGTTAAGTGAGTTGCACCTGATTTTACCACCTTTTTTTGATAAGCTTTTTAAGTAAATTATTGTAATTGTTGAATGAATCACGCAGTTGTTAAGTGAATTTGGCTTCCCTCATTGATTTTACTTTTCGGAAACTGGCTTAGGAAGGTGACAAATGGCAATCAAGTGACCCTAGAATGCTGCAATCATCGTAAATACATGCTGGTTGCCAAGTGCCTGAATTCTGATCATGTGGCCATGGGGATACAGCTACAGTTATAATTGTGAGGATTGGTCATGGGTTATTTTTCTCACTGCCCTTGTAACTTTGAACGAATGGTTGTAAGCCATGGACTACCATACCTTTTTGCATAAGTGGATAGCCATTAAAGCACATAGAGATCAGCAGGCTGTTATGCAATCTATATAATGCCATGTGGAAGAAAGCTTGTCCCCAACATTACATGCCACCCCAACCTCCTTTTGAAAAGCCCTAGATGTCAACTTGTAAAGCATTCCTATGCCTGTTTTTGAGTCGCCATAAGCAGGAGGGAGAAAAACCTGAAGGAGAAGTACGGCAATTAAAACCAGAAGCACATTCCATGTTTATCTTACAAAGGTTGTAGCCTAGGCTACAGCATCTTCTGCCCATGAAAATCCTTAATTAGAAAATGTGACTGATGACATCTAGTCCGTGTTCTTTGGAGAATCTGATTTATGTCATACCGGGGGGGGGGGGGGGGAAACAGTCATAGGTCACCCTAAATTACATGTGGCAGAGTTGGCTTTATATAGGTCAATGCCGACATGTTGCTCCTAATAAATCTTTTGGATTCTTTTGAAGCTTGGCTCGAGGCAATCACTGGAATCCTGACAGCAAGCCAAGAGTTTTTCTGATCATTATTGCTGAAAATCAGCATCTTGGTTTTCTGTTATTTTAAGATCGGAAGCCCTTGAAAGCTGTAGTCTAAACTGCAAAATAGGATTAGCACATTTTAAAAGAAAAAAGCTTTGCTCTTCCAAAAGTGCAGTCTTTTTGGATTACTGCAATGTGCTATACATGGGCCTGCCCTTGAAGACCATCCAGAAGCTACAGCTTGTCCAGAATATGGCAGCACGTGCACTGATGGGTGTCCCTTAGTTTACCCACGAAACACCTCTGTTGTGCAAGCTGCACTGGCTCCCAGTTTCCTTCTGGATGCAATTCAGGGTGCTGGTTATTACCTTTAAAGCTGTATATGGAACAGGGTCAGGTTATCTGCAGGACTGCTAAGGACATCTACCTGACCTTCCAGATCAGATAGATTGGGCCTGCTTCTACTGCCTCACCTTAAAACATTGCTATCTTATGAGATCTAGGAAATTTGACTTTTCCATGGTAGCTCGTACCCTATGGAATACCTTCCCTCTTGAAGTTCAACAGGCCTCTATCCTCCAAACCTTACAAAAAGCACTGACATCCTGGCTTTTCCCTCAAGTGCTTGAGTAGGGTAAGATGCGCAAGAAGATTTAGCAAGGGGCTATATGTGAAAGCTTAACTTTGGTGCCAGGTTTTTAACACTGATGGTTTTAATTGATATGCGTACTTATATTGTTTCCATCAATGTTGTTTTAATTGGTGATTGGGAGCCACCCACAGATTGATTTAAGATGAATGGTAATATAAACATTTTAAATAAATAACTAAATCCCTACTTTTGTAGTCTTGATCTCTTGGTATTATTGTTGCAAACATTATGGCCACTGCAATAGTGGTTCAGTGTCTGCTTCTCATTTTGTAGGATCAGCACAATTCCTATCAATATGATCCAGGTTTAGTTTCAGCTTTTGGAAATTTTTTGGTTTATCATTTTGCTTTATTGTAGTGTACTCTTATTGTGATGGGAAGAAGATGAAAAATTGATCTAAATGGATGTTAATCATAGTACATTTAAATGGATGTTAATCATAGTACATTTAGTAGGAACTTCTGAGTACATGAAATTCCTACTAGCATCTTTTTCTCTTCTTCCAGGAATACATCTTGAATGATGTCATTTGTACCAGGATCTACAAAAGAGTGTAAGACAATTCATTCCCAGGTTACATTTTCCTGCTTCTTATTCTTCAAGTGATGTCAATGTTAACTATGAGGCTTGTATGCAATAAATAAATAAATAACCCCATACTGAAATAAGATTGAAGAGAAATAAGTCCAACATCTTAATCACAATATTATTTATCAAAGGATTACTATTTTCTCAATAATCATAGTTGCTGAACTGATATTCTTCTTAAAGCTAGCATCTGCATTGGGACCCAGTATACAAGTTGATATCAAACCAATACAGAATAAAATAAAAACTGTTGGGTTTTTTTTTTTAGCTGACAATTGAGGCTGTTACTGTTAGAATCACATCAGTCTTTGAAGTTTCATTACACTGCTGATTCAGGTAAAGTAGAAGTAGAATGGAAAGATCATATGAGAAGCCATGCATCAGCGATTGCACAAAAACTTTATTGAATAGATCAGATTGAGTGTGACACACACACACACACACACACATACATGTTTTCGGTTTTTAAAATAACACTTGACAATAAGTTCTTCATATTGAAATTCAGTTAAGCAGTTTGATAAAACTACACACCATAGTGTGTTGGCTTTGAGAATCTATCTGGGGGTTAGGAAACTTTTGGGACCAAATCACTGTTATTATACTGCAAAAGTGGAAACCTTTTTGTGATTCCCTCGCTCCCGAATCCTAATTGCCCCATACTGTAATTGATTGCATGCTTTTTCCATAATTTTGTGGCATGAAATATATAGAGATTGTTGTGTAAATCCCTAAGTGGGGGAAAAAATCCAATCTCAGAAAACTAGGGAAAAAAATCTTTCTCTTTCTTCTGGATAATTGCTCTGCTAGTTACAGCTCCCCTACATCTCGCAATCAACCAGAAGTGGCAAATATTTCAGTTTAGTCTATGAGAAATCATAAAATATCTAGGCAAGACAGAAACTATCATTCTCAGTTGAGAATAGCAAACTGAAAAGCAGAAGACATACTTCAATGTATTATATATATAGGACAACTGTATTAGTTCATCAGGAAAGCAAAGGGAATTATTTGAAATGAGTAAAATGAGTCCCTCTACTGGCTGACTTAAGTAGGAGTAACTGGTCCAGTTTTGGGGAATCAATTTAATAAATCAAAGAACGTATTTTTAAATGAAAATAAGAAGGGCTATCCATTTCTTCCTTTTTTTTCTTTCTCATTCTTGTCTTGCCAATGTGTAAATCTTTTTGCATTGTCTGGTAACTAATAATTTGATTACAGAAAAAGGGCAACAGTGTATACTGTATAATGCTAGTGCTGTTTCCAGCAATTATATTTAGAAGATGAGATAAGATGGCACAGCTTCAAGAATAGTTTAAGAATACCATTGTAATTAATTTTTTTAAAAGATTGATAAATTGCTAGATAGAAGCTGGAGCTTGTAGATTTCTGAAAAGAACAGGAAGGAGAAAAAACATTTAGAAATAATTTATAACTGATAAAACTGGTCCTTATTTTAAACATATTATGACCTTACATTTTAAAACAATTTACATTTTATATATATAAATCAACTTATTATAGTATTCTCAACTCAAATATTTTGCAGAAGTCCAGATATTCCTATTTGGCTTGTTCTTTACCAAATCTTGTTTCCACACAGCAATTCACAAAAGTGGATTCCAAGATACCCAGAGTTAAGCCAGTTCCAGAGATTGATACGCAAGTAAAATCAACAGGAAATGGGGATTAGGCTAAGAACAGTTTATTTTGACAATGAGGTTAAACTCGCACAACTTGAAAGAAAATGAGCTGGGAAAACATAACTTATCACTGCTTTGGAACAAATCATTCTTCCAATATGTCAGAGCTTGCATACATAGGTATAGCTAAAGTGAGAGGACTAACATAATAAAGTTTCTAACCAAAACACAAGAAGATAAAAAATACGCATGGAAAAAATCAGGAACCTTTTTCAAGGCTAGATAACACTGCATGAACTTGGAAGAAAGGCACTCCCAACAATTAAAAACAGTTCTAAACTAGGGAGATTTGGGCCATTTGAATTTTTAAAACATTTTTACTTTATTTCAGGGACATCGGGACTTCTGGATAGTTGATTGTCTGTTCACATTCCATTGCAAACTCCTAGAATAAAATAGGTTGGAATCTTACATTTATGATTTATCACCAATTTGGGAATATGCCATTAGTATATCAGGATTATTCTATCATGTAAATCTTTGTGTCAAAGTTATGGTTGAATTTGAGTCCTGTACACCACAAACATCAAAATACAATTCCAACCTTCTAGATGTCATAAAGTTTGTAAAGCTTCTTTACATCTTCAATTATATTTTTTCTCTACTAATGGATATAGCACTTACCAAGTGATTTACAGTAAAAAACTCAAGTGTACTTCAAACATTCTTACAGGGTAATCCCCGAAAGAACTAGCTTGTTAGCCTATTAGAAAATGAAGATCTTGTGGGACCTTAAAAACATATAAATAGATCACAATTTTGTGGGTCAAGATCCATATTATGTCACTGATACATGCAGGTTTATACAACATGTTGAATTACCCATTTTAAGTACATTGCAAGGCAATCTGCTACACCTGAAATACTTATTTACCTACCATAGTATTTCTAAGAATGAATCCAACTTTTGATTAAATATCTACTTCAAATCATCCAGTTTATGAAAACTGGAATTAAATGATCAAACCACACATACATTCACATACCAAAATAAAACAAAGATGCCTAATTCAATAAAAGTTCAATATTAAAAGCACACTTATTTGACTGTTGCCATTCTAAGAGGCCAAAATACACTCACAGTGGCTTAATCTGATATAAAATACTGTTGCTTTATTCTACTCAAATCTATGGTAAGTAAGATTTTTAGATTTAGTTAGGTCATATTTTCTCTTCTGCCATTGTATTTGCTATATACCCCTCAATAATTAGTATTGCAGTTTATGGAATCTTTTTTTTAACCAAGAATAAAATATGTAAACGGAAAGTTAGCAGAAGGCATTTTTTCCCTTATAAATAGGAAGCATCAGTGAGGAGGATTTTTCAAGCAGTGAATTTTCCCAGCATGTTGTTCCATAGATATTTAAAACAGTACATCCATTACTTAAGCAAGGAAATCAAGTTGGTGGAGAAAGAACAGCCTGATAATGGCAACTGCAAGGGGAAAGAGGAAAAAGCATTGGTGCATCTTTGGTCTGTCTTGCCCTTAAAGGTTCCCCAATCCCTATATAATGACCAATGCCGTCCCTTAGACTACAAAATGAGTCTTCGTACTTCTAGATTTTGTGGCAACAAATTCTTTTAAAAACTCATTTCTGTTTTAAATGAAATTGTCTCTCTTAAGACATTTGGCTAGAGATTTTATTCTTTTCCCCTATAATATACAAAGGAAAAAATGTCACATGGAAGTATACAGACAGTCAAACTTGTTCTGAACTGTTACTTATATAGATGAATTCTCTTTTGCACCATATCCCATTTATTTCCTTGTCAGAGACAAGAAAGCATGACATTTTAAAATGTGCCGCACGCACGATAAATAATAAAAGAAATGTTTAAAATATTGGAGAGGGAAAGGATTTCAGCAGCAGGTTTTGACATATCAAGATGGATATATTTACTCAGGTACAATGGGTGAGCATTCAAGGAGTTCTTTATGAAATAGAGGCCATGTCATAGCATATTTAATTCACTGCATCATCCCTTTGCAAAGGAATGATCTGAATCTCTTTTGCTATCCGCTCTGCTATTGCTTGACAATTTGCAGCAATGATCCTTCTTGACATCAAATCAAATGGTCCTCCTAGAAAAACAAACACATATGTCTATTGAACACACAAGTCTATATATCTGACTTATTTCTACCGATTGACTGATGAAGTGACCTAAGAGATGCAAACTGAGTATTGTTTCAGGAATTAAATTTTATTTTCCTAAACTATATTTGCCTGTTACTTCAAATTATATTCAAATTCAAAGCAGCCCTCAGGTCTTTTCTCCAACAACTGTCCTGGCCCAAAGTAACGCAGTGAGTGTCCATGGCTTACGGTCAATTAATTTGGCTCTCCAAATGTTTAATCGGCCTCCCTGATTGTAGTCCAATACTTTCTACTATACCATAATGATTCTCTGGACAAGTCCAATTAATCAAGACAAGGAACAACCTCATGGACAGTTCAAAATCCTGCAGCACAGTACAAACGATGATCAAATACATTTTCAGTCTTGAATGAAATGTTAACAACACCAAGTTTCTATGTAGGCACTGAATCCTAGTGTGAGAACTAGCTTTACAAATTAAAAGCGGAAAAGTCTTACATATCAATTACACAGGAGCCATATTCACGTGGCACAGCTTCTAGAAAAATCTTCCTTGCAATGGAAGATGTATTACTGTGGATACAATTTCTTAATTCCCATTTTGTTTTGCCCCTTAGCAAAGCAGTGGTGGGTCATTTAGTATTTTGAACTGAGATAGTTTGCATGTTTCAAAGGAAAAACATAAATCAGGGTAATTCTTATTGTATGATTCCCAGCAGGGTACACCACCAGTAAAAATTAGCAGCATTGCATCAAAACCTTATGATGTCATCATGCAAATGCTGTTCTGATGTACCTAGTTCCTGATATTTGACACAAATATGGAAGTTGCAACATTTGCATGATGATGTGTATTCAAGGGCGGGATTCAAATTTTTTAACAACCGGTTCTGTGGGTGTGGCTTAGTTGGTGGCCATGGCTTGGTGGTCATGTGACTGACTGGACGTGGTCAACTCAACATCACTCACATCAAGACACATGTCTCCTTGCCTGGCCTCTCATGACTGTGGGGATGCTGTAACAGTCGTAGGTGTGAAAAACAGTCATAACTCACTTTTTAAAGTGCCATTGTAACTTTGAATGGTCACTGCACACAAGCAAAGTACCAGCAAAGGAGGAAAAAAAACTCCAGAGAAATTCCTGAGACAGGGTTAACGGAGAGGCAGTTTATGTAAGCAACACCAAAAT